CGGTTACTTGTAGAATAATTGAAAATCCTTTGAAATGAACAACTGTTTATATGTTCCATAAACTATACCTAACATGGTTTAAATGTTTGTTACTGTAATAAAACTGGTACATAGTAAGATAGTACTTATGTTCCATAAACTATATCAATCATAGTTTATATGTTCATTTGTATTGTATTTCTGTATTTAGTAATAATGATATAAGTGTTCCATAAACTATACCTATTATAGTTTATAAGCATGTTCTTGTATCGTTTCATGAATTAGTAGTATAGTAAGGATGCTCCATAAACTATACCTATTATAGTTTATAAGTGTGTTCCATTTGTAATGTAAATATTCTGAAAGTTCTCCTTTGCTCAGCATGTTACAAAGGTTTAAAGGCTTGTACTCATATATATAGGGCATATATAATTATATAAATATGTTTCGGTAAAACAATAGTTGAAATAATTTAGCAAAGCTTGATACAATTTGAAATGGTTGGAAACATTGGTAATTATTTGAAATCATTTGGATATTAACACAATAATTCTTTGTGTTGTACTTGTATCCCCCCCTAAAAACATGGAAAAATAATGAAAACGTAGGGGTATGAACTCACCTCGAATGTAAGTTCGTAATTGGATGCGAAGTGATTGTGATGATCCTCGGGTTAGAACGCGCGTGCGTAGTCGTGTCCTAATAATAATTATATACGGTATCGTATTTAAATTAATAAGATATTAATTTAAATAAATTAAATAATAAATTATGTGTTAGACAACACTTAATAATGTAAGAAATACTTACATTACTTACAAAAAGGCTTTAGGAATTATCTGGAAGTGTTCTAGGTGTTTTCGGTGTGCATGGAGGGTTTTTCAGTGAGTTTGGGTGTTTTCGGTGGATTCTTGGTGTTCTTGGTGAAATTATGAAGATTTGAAGATTGTTCTTGGTGTTCTTGGTGTTCTTGGTGTTCTATGTGGAATTATGATGATCTGGGTAGAAAACTCTTGAAGATATGAAGATTGTGTATGACTTTTGAGAGCAAAATGAGGGTGTTTACGGTTGAGAAATTAGGAATGAATTGGGTTCACGGTTGGAAACATATATATAGGAGAGGTTTTCGGCCTTAATGGACCTTAAACCTTTATGTTTTCGGTCATACACTTCCATAAAGGAAGTGTTTTCGGTCCTAAAGTCCAAGAGTAAAGAGATTTCGGCCAAAAAGTCAAAGGGAGAAGAGTTTGCGGCCTTAAAGTCCTAGAGAAAAGAGATTCCGGTCAAGGCTATCCCAAATGAATGTGTTTTCGACCATGCCTAATTCTAGACCGAAATCTATATATACTTATAGTATATTATGATTTTAAGTTAAGTATTTAAACCTTGTTTTGAACTATTGTAAGCTTTGTTGACTTATAACAACTTAAGTCAACATGAGTTTAAATTTAACCCTTGTGTTATTATATGAACTTATATATACAAGTATACTTGGCATTCAAATTCTTATTGCAAAAGTGTTATGGGGTGAATTTACTTGTACATGGTTGCAGTCTAGACTTTTATTTGAATTAGTTTGACGTACATTGACTCGAAACAACGGGTTGTTACAACCATTCTTCAGGTCAAGAACCTCTCAACATGCCAAGCGATCTCTCTCTTCATGCACGGCCACCAGTAACTCAATCTCAGATCCCGATACATCTTGGTGGCCCCCAGATGGATAGAAAAGCGCGACTTATGATCCTATTCCAACACAATCTGTCTGACCGCACCAGACACAGGAACCCACACTCGACCGCAACGGGTCAACAAACCACGACTATCCGACACAAATCTGGTGATCTCACCCCCGAGGGTTGATACGGACCCGACACAACCACGTGTTGTTATATTTATGTGTTTGTTGTGTGTGGTATTTTGGGGAACTCACTAAGATTTGTGCTTACGGTTCAAGTTTATGTTTCAGGTACTTCCGGATCAAAAGGAAAGGGCCCGACCTGATCGCAAGACACCCACCCGTGTTCAACAATTTTATGACTTTTGGGATTGTACTCTGAGAACTATTTTTACATTGACATACTTTTGTTGGGTTGATATGAATATTTGATGGTTTTGATTGACTTAAAAATGAAATTTTTTTACTTATGAACTTTGGGTCGTTACAGTGACACATTATTACAATGTGTCGTCATTAAAAGAAAACATATTATGGGGTCATAGGGCTAATAGTATTTATCTAGAAATGCTTATGTCTTTGTAATCTGTACAAACTCAAATTTAGTAAACTGTTATACATATTTTTGAATCAAACCTGAAATCAGAAGTGGTTAACAATTTATCGACTAATCACTTTCTTTGCAAATAATCAATCGAGAATTTCTTTTCAAACCATTAACCTTAGCTAATTAAAGTATTTAAGGTTACTTTTGTATCCTATCAACATCCGAGATAAAAAAACGTTTGGTTTTGGATTTTCGTTTAATAAAATTTCATCACCTTCTTGTGTAGATAAAAAACGTTTGGTTTTGGTTTTGGATTTTTGTTTAAGGGTGTTGGTGATTTATATTATCAATAGTATTTAAGCGTAATGGATTAATTTGTTGACCAAATACAATCTTGAAAAACATTGAACAAGTAAGGGTGGTGCAGAGTGTACACTTGTTTGAGTTTGTTCAAGATTCAAAGTACACTGTTGTGACATCCCCAAATTCACGGTCATTTTAAAAATTTTAATTATGCTTATTTAAAAATCAGAGTATTCATTTTAATGAATAATATTGCGGAATTTGTTCCAAGAAAAACATGATAAATATATTATCAAAGCATTTCCGAAGAAATGTATCTTGTTTATATTAAAACTTTGGGATGTCATCGTCAATACAGAAACATAAGCATAAACACACCTTACATTCATTTACACTAGTGATCTACATCCCATTTAATCTCTCAGTGTAATGTAGCTTCGTATCAATACCTGTGATACAAGTAAACTGAGTGGGTCAGGTTGGGAAACCTGGTGAGTACATAGGGTTTTCAACCCACAATAATATAATTATTATGTTTAAGCATCAAACAATCAACCCAATTACCCACCCCATTATCTTCTTTATATTTAAGGATCTACCCTGAGAATCAGTTATCCTTCATTCATGCATTCCTAAGGATTATGCTAAGGAATAGGCACGAAGTCCATCGTTGTCTATATATAACATGTACTAAGTCCATAGCTAACGATGTTAGGCACAACTGCCAATGTTCTTTCATGAGGCACTAAGTCCATAGCTGCGAGGGTTTTTAGAATACATCCGGTGAACACGTAGTTCAAAAGTCAGTTACAGTTGCCAATATTATCCATTAGGCGGCGCAGCTGCCAGGATATTTAGAGTACATCTGGTGAACACGTAGTTGAAAAACATCTGGTGAACACTTAGTTCAAAAACACCCGATGAACACTTACTTCAAAAATACCTAGTGAACACTTAGTTCAAAAACACCTACATGTTACGATCCTGCTAGCGTTCCACTGAACTGTCTAGAATAGTCTGTGGTCGTCATCGATACTCCGCTAGATGACTGGTTCATCTTAAACATCGAGGCCTCTCATCATTTTATTTCATCACACATCAACTATTTCATCTACTCATGTTCTACCCAACATATTCGTAGATATAACATACATATACAGTTTAAATCATCTAAAACATGTATAAATCGTTCATCCAACATAGATATCAGGAACACAAATAATATGCACACATAACACACAATTTATATTAAATACTTCATATCTATTTGTAAGATGAAAGTAACTATGCACTCACAACACGTAATTTATATTAAATACTTCATATCTATGTGTAAGATGAAAGTAACTATGCACTCACTTGTTAAAGTGATGATTCCAAACTCGGGCAGCGCTTCGCTTCTAACGATTCAATTTTCCTTCGACGAAACCTAGCATTATTATTGCTAAGTTTTAGTCTAATCTTTATTGCGACTAATTATTAGTCTAGATTTATCATTAACTCAAAGTCTACTTTCATGATCTATCAAGTAAGGAACAACCAAGTATGATCATATCGGAGGTAAGGTCCCTTTGGTATACAAAGTATACTGTTTGGAAATCCCACTTTAAACACCTCACTAAATCACAACCTAGACATCATCCCCGTAAGTAGATCAATCAATATAATGACTTGGAATCACTGATAAATCTTTTTTATAGGTTCATAATAACGATAATGAACTTAAACATAAGTTATACTTAAAGTACAATAAGCATAACTCAACTTACAGGGGGTTTAGCGAGGAACCGGGCTCTGCCGGGCAGAACTTTCGAGCCGAAAGACTCTTTTTCTTGGAGCTTTCGGGCGCTCCGGGGCTTTCCTCTAGCACCTTGAGGTTACTAGGGCTATGGGAGGGTTTTGGGAGGCTTTCCAATCGAACGTTGTTGTCCGACATCGAGCACCATCGTCCGACATTAAGCACCTTCAGTCCGTCCGACCACCGGCCAGTCATCTTCAGTTCTTCACAGTAAGTTTTTTTTATTGTTCACTCATCTATTTTTTTTCTACTGATTCGAAGATAGCTTATTATTTCTCGATTACTTCGGTTTTGCTGCCTCACATCAGTTGATAGCTTTGTTGATGCCTCACATTAGTTGATAGCTTTGTTAAAATAGCTTATTTTTCTGCTGATTCCATTGTTGGTTTTTTCCATTGTCCACTAGTTTGTTATTATTTTCTTATCACTCATCGTATTCTGAGTAACTTCTCAGTGTGTTCTCTTCTATCAGAAGTTTAATGATATTTTTTTTGATTGTTTGTCTCCTAGGATATATTGACTTGGTTTAATTGAAATACCATTTTAATTGTTTAGTCTAGATTCTTATTCACTGGATATTAATTAAAGACCCTTAACAGGAAAGTATATTGTTGAATGCTGATGAACTAAGTATGCTTATTAAATGTACAAATTTTGACAAATTTTCTTTCATAAACCATGTTGTAGATATTATGGATGGTGATGTGAGTTCAGATCTAATGGAAGGGGTTGAGAATAAGGAGCAATCTGTTCCCATAAATATAGATGCTGATGAACAACCAACTCCTCAGAATCATATTCCAAGTGAAAATGGCAGTGATAAACATCAAAATGCAGAAATCCACGTGGGAGAAGAGGAAATAGTAATGAAACGAAAACGAAAAAAAACATCAAAGGCATGGGATGGTTTCACTGTAGTGGCTTTATCTAATGGTACCAAAAAATCCCAGTGTAATCATTGTAAAACAAAGCTAACTTATGGTGATAGCAGGACTACATCAACATTAAAAAGGCACTTGCTTATATGCAAGCCACATAAAGATTATGAAGAAAAGCAGAATTTATTGAATTTTCCACATATTAGGTCTGATGGGGATACAGGACATGAGAAGCTTCCTTCATTGATCAGGCCTGATGCAAAGTATGAAAGTAACAAAATGAGAGAAGCAATAGCTACTTGGGTGTTGGGTACTGAGCAACCTTTTTTCTGTTATGGAGGATGATTTATTTGTGCATATGATGAAGACAGCTACTCCATTATTTGAGAAAACAAGCAGGACTTCAACCAAATCAGATTGTTTTAAGATATACGAGCATGAGAAAAAAACACTAAAAACTCTTATAAAAGCAACCTCAAAAATCAGTTTGACCACTGATTGTTGGAAGTCATCTCATCAGAAGATTGAGTTCATGGTTATCACAGGGCACTTTATTGACCATAATTGGAGGTTTGATTTCCTTCTATATTTTTTAATAAGCTTTTTCCATTTTATATAATATATTTATATTGATATATGGACTTGATTTTGTAGATTGCAAAAACGTGTCTTGAGTTTTGTACATGTTCCTCCTCCTCGTACCGGACTTGATATTGCTGATGGTATTTATAAATGTTTGAAGCATTGGGAAATTGAGGACAAGATATTCACGATATCTGTAGACAATGTTGCATACAATGACATGGCATTGAGAAGACTGAAAGAATTTTTTTCTAAAGTAAGAAAACTCACGTGTGGTGGTAGGTTATTTCATGTTAGATGTTGTGCACACATTTTGAACCTTCTTGTGAAAGATGGTCTTGCTATGATTGATTCTGTTATCGGGGAAGTTCGTGAGGGTATAAAATATATTAACAATTCTGAGGCGAGACTTCAAACATTTTCAAATATTGCACATCAACTGCAAATACAAGATAGAAAGTTATTGCTTGATGTTCCAACACGATGGAATTCAACCTATGATATGTTGTTGGTTGCATTAAAATTTAAAGATGTTTTCCCAAGGTATACATTAGATTTTAATAAAAATAGTTTTGAATGTTGTGATTTTCAGGTTTTCAAATATTGCACACACTAAGTTTTTTTTTTTTTTTGATTTTCATAGATTTGCGGAGTACGAGCCACATTTCCATCACCTGCCTAATGATGAGGAGTGGGCGCATGTGGAGAGTGTATGTGAAATCTTGAAGGTTTTCAAGGTGCATATTACCTTTATTTAAGTGTTATTTTAAATATTTTATCATGCGTAATACTAAAGCAACTTATTTTCAGGTATGCACAAAATGTCATTTTTGGAAGTGATTATCCAACATCCAATCTGTATTTGATTGAGGTGTTTAGAGTAAAAGAAACTTTGGATAAAGGTACTCTATCAAAAAATGATTTCATTAGGACTATGGTGACTAAGATGAAGGAGAAGTTTGACAAATATTGGGGGGAGTGCCATCTTGTTATGGCTATAGCTTCAGTGTTAGATCCAAGATTCAAAATGAAGTTAGTAGAATTTAGTTTCCCAACCATATACTCCAATGCTGAAAAGAACATTGAAGAAGTGAAGAAAGCACTTTATGAAATGTATGAGGAGTATTTGGAAATACATGATGCATCAGTCCGAGAAGCTGCAACGCCTGCAAATGGATGTGGAGGAAATGAAGTGTCAAAAACAACATCACTCGGGTCAGGATGGGAGGCTTTTGGGGAGTTTATAAAAAATACAGATTTGGAGCGACCAGAAAAGTCAGAATTAGATATGTATTTGGAAGAAGGTGTTTATAGGAACCAGGGACAAAATGGAATGGATTCATTCAAGGCTTTGGAGTGGTGGAATGTTCATAAACTGAAGTACCGCGTTTTATAAAAGATGGCTATGGATGTGCTTGCGATCCCGATTTCTACCGTTGCATCTGAGGCAACATTTAGTGCTGGGGGTAGAGTAATCGATCCATACCGATCTTCATTGGCACCGGACACTGTTCAAAAGTTGATTTGTGGAGGAGATTGAATTAGACATCGTTATGGAATCAAGAAAAAATTGAAGGTACATTTGATAAACTTAAAACACGTGAACTAACAGTTGATTATTTAAATTTATTAATATTTGATCGTGTTGGTGGGTTCTTTTTACAGAAGGAGGAAATGCCCAATAAGGTTTTATTACCTACAGGGACAAGTAATACTTAAAGGTGTAAGCCATTCTAATTACTTGTAATCTTGGCTGTTTAATTACATTATATTGCACATCTCATAAAATGTTTTATTTTGCAGATATTGCTGGATTGAATTTGCTTCAAGGAAGATTGACTTTTGAGTTTTGATAATATGTTATGTTAAAATTTAATCGTTTTATAGCATTTTTGTAATTTAAACTTCCATGATAGGAAGACTTTCTTTTGGATGATTTAATTACATTTTAGGTTTGTTTGTTGGAGTTTAAAACTTATCTAATCTGAAGATTTTATTTATGCATCTTGGTTGGAATTTAAGTAGTCCGCACATAGTTGAAAATTAAATAAATTCGTGGTTTTTTTTGTTGGAATTCATTTTGTAAACGAGCTTTTAACGAGCTCGAGGCAAGCTTAAGCTCGTTTAGGCTCAGTTAGACAAAACGAGCCGATCCCGAGCCTATGTATTACTTCACGAGCCGATCTCAAGCTCATTATTTGGGGCTCGAAACGAGCCGAGCTCGAGCTCGACCCATACAAATTTTAAGCGAGCCGAGCTCGAGCTTGGTCAGGCCCGAGCCGATCTCAAGCTCATTATTTGGGGCTCGAAACGAGCGAGCTCGAGCTCGAGCCATACAAATTTTAAGCGAACCGAGCTCGAGCTTGGTCAGGCTCAGGCTCGGCTCGACTCGTTTGCACCTCTACTTCGTCATACGAAGTCAGATTTTGATGTTCTTTTTATGCACATCATTGGTTTAACATATACTACAACTTTAATTTAGATTTCTAAGGCTAAAAATTAGTTTATCAAAAATTCACTTTTTATGATTCTCGGTGTCGTGTCGGTTTTGCCGTAAAACTTCGACAAGTCATAACTTCTTCGTTATAACTCGGATTTCGGCGTTCTTTATATGTACGGAACCCTTGTGACATATACTATAACTTGGTTAAGATTATTTATTCTAAATAATCTTCTATAAGAAAGTCATTTTTGATGCTTATTGTCTCTAAATTAACTAGCCCGAATCTGCGGACGTTACAACTGTCATTTAGGGGCGAAACCCCTAAACCTACGGGGGTTCGGGGACAACGCCCCTGATAGCTGGGTCCAAGGAGTGGCAACCCCCTGACGGGGTCCAAGGGGAAGTTCGCCTGGCTGGGTTGAAATTGAGGAAATTGACCCGATTTGACCCTTATCCTGAAACCTGTTTTGTTACACTTTAGTGTCGGTTAATTGATGGTTGTAAAAACTTTTTTGGGATGGTTTTATGACAGTTTTGTGTCGAATTTTAGACAAGGTATTATGCCCGTTTTTGGTTCTAATTCCGATACATTTCAAGAACATAACTTCACAATTCTCTTTGTTCGAAAACCACTGAATTTTATCAAATTGAACTTTCGATTTATACCATCGAAATACTTCAATTTGATAGTGTTTTACGACTTTTAGTGGATTCCAAGAAATCTGTTAACCCGGATTTCGAACAAAGGGTCATGTGAGACTTGTCTAAAGTTATAGTACGAGTCCCAACAATTACTCTTTATGACTATACGTATACATTAGAAAGCAATAATTATCAGATGTCTCGTACTAGTAAACAATTTTCATGATCCTATATATGATATATAAATTGTTTTTTGTAAAATAAGGCTGATTCATGCTTTCATCTTTCGTCCTTTGTGAAAAGATATTATAATGATAATTTATAATAGAGTCAAACAAATATTGATTGCACCAAAACGGAGGTTTATTTTATCTTTTGGTTGCATTAAAGACTCATAAACAAATAAACAAACAAACACATAGACTTACATATATATACATGGATCCTTCGATATGTTGACCAAAAGACTGAGAAATTAAATATCCTTCTATAATTTTTCCTACACATCTTAAATCGAATCCGGTAGGTCGGATTTTTTTAATTTTTAAACATTACAAGTGCTATTTAAACCAAAAAAAAAACACATTTAAAGGTGTATATTCCGTTGGCTACTAAATTAGTTCTAGAAAGAAATATAGAAAACATGGTAGAAAGATCAATGGCCATATAATAATTACATACCAGAAAGAAGTAGTTAACATTTGACAATTTTTTTGCAGAAAACATTAAGAATTTTTTTTTTTACTAATTTACGTGATAAGTTTGCTTTTTGTTTTCAATGTTACGTGTATTCATTTATATATATAGAAGTAATTTAGTAGCCAACGGAATATACAATTTTAATTATTATTATTATTATTTTTTTGCTTTAAATAGCACTTGCAATGTTTCAAAATTTTAAAAAATCCGACCTGCCGGATTCGAACCAGCGACCTAAGGATAGCTATGAACACACTACAGTCCTCCGCTCTACCAACTGAGCTAAGGTCGGGATATGTTTCTAGTTAACCTCAATATTATATAACTATAATACAATATTTGGAACGTACGTTTATAACATAAAGAATCGGTTAATCAATATATAGGTACTGTAACGTTAACGTTATATTATCTTAATAATTAGTCCTCCTAAGTATTTTTACACGTTTTTTATAATTTGATGGTTTGACCACAAAATCTACAAAATTTTCATATTTATAACTGTTTTACTTTGAACACTTGAAATTATTTAAACATATTTTCTCCAACGTAAAAAATCCAATTATTGTATCCAACACATCACTGCTTCTACTAACTGCATCAGTAACTCATTCAACTTCTGGAGAATTCAATGGAGTGTCAAGTAGGATAGATAATCATTCAAGTCTTAGAAAACCACCATAAATTTACTAAAATCTCCGTTCGAAGATGTTCACCATTTCTCTCATCTATATTATATTCAATTTGATTCTATTGAAGCCCCATTAAACCTTTCATTGTGGATACCCTCATTGACACTGTAACCAAAGCTCGTTTGTGATAGACATGAATACCCACCTTCATTCTCTATCATTAAATTTAGTTTTACAAAAGCTTGTCCAAACCGCCCTTGTAACAAACGCAAACCATAATGCATTGGAACAGCACAACCCAAAGCAAAACAAAACAAAACTTGGAATCCATGAGTAATTTAGTTGAAAGTAGTAACGACTATGTGCCAAAAAAGCAACCATTACAAGTTACAACATCTTTTTTCTTTTTTACATCCACCTATAAATTATTGTTATTCTAGGCTGCTACGGAGGTGCATGCTGATGTTGCTTATTTATTTATTTTTCCACCATGCATCCTCTAGATGGAAGCACCTGTATAATTATGAATCAAAACCAAAGAAACAAAATAGTCCAATATACCCCAACCAAACCAAACCAAACCACAATCAAAAACCATCTAGGTCAAACAGATTAAGTTGGGTGGCACCTTGGTCAACTGTTGGCGTTTCAAGTATCTCAAAAGATTGCCCCGGTGACTGTGACTGTGACTCATCACTCTCCACCACCTCTAACCGCGGCTCCTCCTCCTCAACCGCCACTGCTGGTGGTGGTGGTTCGAGGCGTTGGTTTTTGGGTTTGTTTTTCTCTAGCAAAAGGTAAGTGGTGAAGTACCAAAACAACACTATTCGACTCTGAGCCATCATTGTCTCAGATATTGTCCTACCCCCAAAAGAAAGCTTCTCCAGTGCCTACACCAAACAATTCAATTTAGGCAATCTACTTTCGTTTCTAAGCATGAAGATGTCATTTGATTCACATTCATACTCACTCACCTGTTCTCCAGTTTGTATATCAAATGATTTTTCATGATCAAACTCAAGGCCTCTAAATTCATTAATGCAAAGACCTTGAAACGCCCTGTGAAGCAATCGAATAATCTTTAGAATAAAAAACAAATTTATTTTATTATAATAAAGTGATGTATAATATAAGAATGTAGTCAAACAAACCATCTTATGAGAGAAACACGAGGAATCCATCGAAAAATGATAGGGGTATTATCGGCATTCACATAATAGCCACCAAATACAATGAACACTGTCATGAGAGACGGGCCCAGAGCCAAAGCGGCTTCAGTGGTTGGAGCCATGGAACCCACGGTCAAACCCATGGCAGATGCAGCAAATGACTCCACAGTCACAATTCCACTAAACTTCCCGAATCTGAAAATTTTCAAACCCTTTTTTTTTACACTACTTTTCTTCTTCAAATTAATTTTATAATTTTTTTTAAGTTTATTAATAAGGTTACCTAGATAGAGATGGATGAAGGCGGGCCATGGGGTAAAGAACAGTGCCAAATAATAGAGGAAATGCAGCTCCAATAGGGACCTCAGCTATTAATTTGGATAATAAATAAGGGCCTAGGAGATAAGAACCTTTTGCACGCTCTCTATCTACTATTGCACGTTCTTTTGGAAAAACACCAACGGTTTTTGTAAGTGCAGCCATCGCAGTATTTATAGCAGCAACCTAGGTGAAAATAACAAATAAAACACATAATCAATATATAAAAAGATCCTGTTTTTTATAAACTCAAGAAAGTGTATATACCTGAAGCAATCCCATTCTATCTTGTATTGATGTCTGAGACCTTCCCATTCTCCAAAAGACTGAACCGAAAATTAAAGCGGAAGCAATTGACATTCTTGTCCGGACTATATTTGTGGGCCCATCACGTGAAGCCTGAATAATTTTCCATCAATGTAAGTAATTATGACTTAATTAATATAACTTATATGATTATATTCATTCTTGACCTGCATCCATGCTCGTTTGAGGAGCAATGAAAATTGTCTCCACCAACCATTTATCCCTTTGGGTGTGGGTTTCCTTTTTAAGTTGGTTTTATCTTTGACAATTAGGGTTTTGGTGAGAGTTGCTGTGTAAAAGGTTGATGAAATCTGTTGAGAAAACGAGTCCACGAGACTATCGATTCTTTTACGGGAAGAGTTAACACTGTCTGATGAACTGTAGTCGATTGATATTAAATCGGCTAGAAACTCAGCAGGGTTAACATGGTCTGGGCAAAGGTACCTGTCAAACAAACCAAGGATCAATTTTTGTAATCAAACACCAAATAAAGTAGAGGATTTGAGTTTTGAGTTTAATTAAGATTTAAGAACCCGAATTTTGAGAAGTAAGTGAGTGGTTCATCGGCTGCAGGACCAGCATAAACAAGTTCACCCTCTGTCAACAACACAATGTCATCAAATTTTGAATACACTGAACCTCTCGGTTGGTGTATGGAACATATTACAGTGTGTCCATCTTGTGCAAGTTGTCTAAGAGTTTCCATCACTTTCTCTGCTTGAAATGCATCAAGTCCTGAAAGCATAGCCAATTTATATGATGACCTCTTATAAACCACCTTAATATAAAAATTTGTTAAAAAGACATGGAATATAATGCATACCAGTTGTTGGTTCATCAGCAAATATCACAGATGGACTAGCAATGAGTTCACAAGCCATTGCTAGCCTTTTCTTCTCGCCTCCACTTACTCCACGAATTTTTGCATCCCCAACTCGAGTATCAGCACAACTCACCAACCCTAGTTTGAACAACAGATTGTTTATATATTCATCTCTATCTTCCTTTGAATATGTCCCCTTCAACTGGAGTTCAGCTGCAAGTGACAATGTCTCTCTAACTGTCAACTGTGAGAAGAAAAGGTCCTCTTGTCTCACATAAGCAAACCTGTGATGACAGTGAAAGGAAATTGTAACCAGTTGTTATGCAACTTTCATCAAGTACAAGTCTCAATAAGAAGCTACAACTTTCAGAAACAAATGATGAGCTTAACTTACCTGAAGGACTTGTTTGACATTGGTTGTCCATTAACCTCCAAGAGGCCTGATAAGTGTAATCGAGGTGATGCAACTGTTTGACCTGCAAGTACGTTGAGGAGGGTTGTCTTCCCCGATCCTGATGGACCCATTATTGCAAGCAGCCTTCCAGGTTTTGCCTCTCCACAGACATTCTTAAGCAAGAACCTCACCTGTAAAGTTAACATGGAGCTGAAGAGTGAAAAGGGCAGCACAACAAAATTGTCAATGGGGGAGATCAGAACTTGACCTCCCAAATTGCTGTTTTGTATGGTAAAAGTAGGCAATCACAGATTACTCGAACCATATTCCTCATAAGAAAATAAATGATTGCTGTTAATAAAACACAATGACCTAATTTCGATTAGAGGGAACCATAAGCTGCACATACTTCCCCCCACAATCGCAACAAATTAGCAAAATTTTACATAAAAATCAAAGTTTCATGACATAAGCTTGCAGAGCACCCTCACGCCTCATCCGCTATTTTGCTAATTAAGTGTTGGGGGAAAGGCCTCATTCTGAAGCGATTTTCGCTAATCGCATGTCAATAAACATAGTTTACATCAGTTACAGGGATTCCTTAAAAACGCTTCCAACATGCAGTGAATAAAAATACTAACTGACCGATTTTGAAGCTTTATCGGAGAGAGAGCATGTGATGTTTGTCCACCGGATAGTAACAGGATAAACTTTATCGGATACCGAAGCTTCAGAATCGGAAATTATTCCCTCACCTCCCTCCTCTTCAGTCTCATTCTCCAGCAACTGCACGGGGCCGGGGCCTGAGAATAGACGGAGCAATAAAGCCGCGGCAACGGCGGCGATTATCTGACCAACTCCACCGTCTGTGCCGGAGATTCTAAGCATTTTTCTTCAGTAATTAATTTCCCGCCACCAAAAAGATGTTATCTTCTTCTGCTTGTCTGGTTCTCTGCCGAGTAGAAGTCTCTTTTCTCCAAGACGATGACATGGTTCCACATGTAGGACAGCGAAACGCCGTCGTCTGATCAAGTACCTTCTTTTGAGGGTGCAATTCTTTTTATGGGGTTTTTTTTAAGAAAGGAACAAACCCAAAAAACAATAAAAACCGATAAAATTGAAACTGAAAAACCGAAATAAAACATAAACTGTCAGTTTTAGGTTTAAAAATTTTAAAATCGAAAAATTCAATTTTGGGTTTGGTTTGCACATTCAAAACCGACCCATAAGACTTTTGAAAAAAGTTCATCCGTTTATCTTAAAGAAAGATCTTGATTTGATATTGGAGTATAAAATCAAAATTTCCTGATCTTAAAACAACATAATGTAGTTTCGGGTTGCACAAGAAAGATGCTACTACGTTACAATTCAAACATGTCATATTAGATCGAACCGGTATCAATGAACATTTTGATCTATTTACTGCGAGATCGAGACCTATCATTAATATATCATTAATAGGTTGTAAATGTATTATATGTTGTAATAAAATGTTAAGTACTAATTGAGAAACATTTAAAATCCATGTGAAATGCATGCATCTTATGGAGATGACAAACTCATTGTGCAACGTTGTATGTCATTTTACATGAAAGGTTGTCACTTAAGATTGTAACATCGAACTTTCTACATCTCAAAGATACATATTGTGTTGATACATGTACAATGCAAAATATACATATTGTTTGGGATGTGTACAAGGTCATTGTTGGTACACGAAAAAAAATCTTTCTCAACTATAACTACGAACAATATGACACTAGTCTAGGTTTAGATATTGGTATGCCCTAAAGAGATATAAAGAGGAATCATATAAAGAAGTTATCCACAAACAACTAAACTAATAGCATAACCATGTTTTATAATAAATGATATCACTTTACTTAACCGTTATGTCCCAACCGGATCATACATTTAAGGAAAAAAATCCCCAAAACAAATGTCATAGGTATATTGTAAACATATAAACATATTTTAGCATTTCGTGCTACATGTACTTTTACATGCTCCCTTTATCTTAGACAAGAAATTCAAAATCTATTTTCATATATTGTGTCAAGTATTGGCTGAGACTCGACATGAACTATTTGCATTGATTGACGTAACCCTAATTCAACATACATATGTATCATCATAATCACGAAAACACTAAAAAAACGGTTGAGGGCACTTAAAAAGTTAAAGAACGAAGGAATGACCATAAAGAACTGAAAAAACAAAACAAGTTATGTCTATATCTCAAAGATACATATTGTGTTGATACATGTACAATGCAAAAGATACATATGGTTTGAGATGTGTACAAGGTCATTGTTGTACACGAAAAAAAATATTTCTCAACTATAACTACGAACAATGTGACACTAGTCTAGGTTTAGATATTTGTATGCCTTTAAGAGATATAAAGAGGAATCATATAAATTCCAAGAGAAGTTATCCCCAAACAACTAAACTAATAGCATGTTTTATAACAAATGATACCACTTTACTTAATTGTTATGTCCCAACGGAGATCATACATTTAAAGAAAAAAAATCACCAAAAACAAAATGTCATAGGTATATTGTAAACATATAAACATATTTTAGCATTTCGTGTTACATGTACTTTTACATGCTCCCTTTATTTTAGACAAGAAATTCAAAATCTATTTTCATACATTGTGTCACGTATTGGCTGAGACTCGACTCGACATGAACTATTTGCATTGATTGTCGTAACGGTTGATGGCACTTAAAAAGTTAAAGAATAAAGAATAAAGGAATGACCATAAAGAAGTGAAAAAACAAAACAAGCTATGCCTATAATCGACCCAAAAAGGTTAAAATTAGCAAGATTGGCTAGTTTTTATTTCCAAATCAAGAAGTAAATTCCTTAGGGACCTTTGATGTACTAATTATTTGCAATTGCCCTTTTTGGAATTTTAAAATCTTGAGGGGTGTTGATGATGCCCACATGAATATTTCAATACAGCTGAGACTTGAGAGTCAGAGTTGTGTAGAACAGGTTTTTACAAGATTTCCAACATAATCACATAGATCAGATCCATATTTCTTCACCATTTAATACCAAAATCCAATTCTTGTGTGTATTCACACCTACCCAAAAGCTTTTTCAATCTATTCAAACAAACCCTAACTTATCCTTGATCCTTTTCATACGCAAATTCAATTTCACAAGGAAAACCTTTGCTAAAATTAGTAAAACCCAACTACTTAGTGAATCCCAGTCGTCAATTTCATGATTTCTTAGTGAAATTGAAACCCTTGAATTACCCTCCTTCATTGCAATTTCAATCCATATGCTCCGAAGGTTACAAGATCAAAATCTGAACCAATTGATACACAGTAATGGGAGCTGAGAAGAAATGGCTTTTTACATTGTTCTTCGCCGCATTCATCTCCCTACTACTGTTTATCTCCTCGATCTGCGGTTATAGTTCTTCATACGCCTTCACTTCACACAAACCCTTCTCCACCGTCCACCGTGGGCGCGGCTACCCGCCGGCGTTCGCTTACTACATTTCAGGTACCCGCGGTGACGCCGATAGGATTTTCCGGCTGTTGCTTGCGGTGTACCATCCGAGGAACAGGTATCTGTTGCACATTGGAACGGAGGGTTCCGACGATGAGCGGAGGAAGTTGAGTGTGTTGGTGAAGTCGGTACCGGCAATTAGGGCTTTTGGGAATGTTGACGTGATCGGAAAGCCTGATCCAACAACATACATGGGTGCCAGTAACATTGCTGCCATTTTGCGTGCTGCTGCAATTTTTTTGAAGGTTGATCGTGATTGGGACTGGTTTATAACCCTCAGTGCACTGGATTATCCTTTGCTAACACAAGACGGTACTCCCTAATACCAATTCTGATATCAATTCTACAAGTATCTCTTTGCTTCGAGCATTTAGTATGTTGTTTTAGGGTTTTTTACAAATAATCATTTTTGAGGGAATTGGGTGAACGATATCATGATTCTGATTTCTGATCATTTAGGGTTGTTTTAGTAGCATATCGATCAATTTGATAACATGAGGCCTAGCTATCCTATGATTCTGATTCCTTAAGCCTCAATAATCACATTGAAAAATGAAAACACACATCCAAGCACACATAATGTTCGATGATTGTTCTGTTTGTACAAATTTGGTAAATTAAAGTTGCCCATTATGATTTTGACATATAAGTTTTTGAGAAAAGAATCTGAAGACAATAAGAACAAACAAATTCTATTCTTTATGCATCTTCCTTACATGGGTTTCTATTCTTTATGGAATAAATTTAGATCTCTGACATTTTTGAACATACAGAGGTGTATATATATACATACACACATATTACATATATACACACAATTCACAAACGCCCATATCTATGAACACATACGTCCACATTAATATACTTATGGTGTTTCCTTGTTTGTATATTCTTGATCAGATTTGTCTCATGCATTCTCCACCATCAACCGAGATGCCAATTTCATTGATCATACCAGTGAGCTTGGATGGAAAGAGTAAACATGTTTCTTTCAAATTCAAACCCCATTTTTCTATACTTTTTTAATCTAAAAACTTAAATTTAATCTCAACTTTATATATTGATTTCAGGGATCAAAGAATCCGACCAATCGTAGTCGATCCAGGACTTTACTTAGCAAGAAGAACACAAATCTTTCGTGCCACTGAAAAACGACCATTACCAAATGCTTTCAAAGTTTTCACAGGCAAGTGTCCATTTTGAATTTCAAAAATGAAATTATATTATAATAAACAAATCAATGAAAGTATATTGTTATTTCAGGATCTCCATGGGTGATTTTGAGCCGTTCGTTTCTTGAATATTGTATATTTGCATGGGATAATCTCCCTCGGACTCTCTTAATGTATGTTAACAATGTGGTTTTGGCTCAAGAAGTCTACTTTCATACGGTGGTCTGCAACTCACCTGATTACAAAAACACGACAATCAATGCGGATTTAAGGTACATGGTGTGGGACAATCCTCCTAAAATGGAGCCATTGTTTCTTAACAAGTCGCATTACAATGAAATGGTGGAAAGTGGTGCGGCTTTTGCAAGACAGTTTGGGAAAAACGATGCGGTTCTTGACATGGTTGATAGGAAGATCTTGAAACGTGGTGGTGGGAGGGCGGCACCCGGGGCGTGGTGCACCGCTAGGAAGAGCTGGTTTGTGGACCCGTGTTCACAGTGGGATGATGTTAATGTTTTGAGACCAGGGAATCAAGTGAAGAAGTTTCAAGAGGAGTTGAAGAATCTGATGGAGGATTCAAGATTACAGTTAAATCAATGCATATGATTATGAAGGAGGAGAAGATTTGGGGGATAGTTATTGTTGTTCTTGATCCTCTGTGCTCAAGATTCAAGCTTTTGATTGTTGTTTACAGAGGTTCTTTTGATTGGGGGTGGGTGGGTGCAAGTTTTGTTGTAAAGTGGTGAGGATGATATGAAAGTGAACAATAAGATGAATCCTCCCAAATTGTAAACCTGTTTGCAATGTTGTAATCTTGCTCTTTTATCTCTTGTTTGTTTTTGGTGTCTATGGTTGTAATATTACAAACATAATTTTATTCATTTAGAGTTTAAAACATGTCCTCACTTTGTATTCACCGGTTAACATTTCTTGTGGGTTTCATTTATTTGTCAAAAAAGAGAAATAAAGATAAAAAGTTCAGGTAACGTAGAAAGTGTTGAAACCTATAGAGTCTTACAATGTTTGAATTTGAGGTCTCTTCTATGGAGTAATCTTTACTAGGTGACTCTTTGAGACATTTACTAATTTCGAAGGAATTTGGAGGAAAAGTAATGTAAATTCCAGTAAAAATTACGTTTGATTGACAAAATAAAAGAAATCGGAATTATTTAAATTCCATTGAAGGAATTGTTATTCTTTAGCCAACGGCAAAAATTTTAGATTACATTCCTTATGGTTAAAAAATAAAAAATAAACCTCTCACATTTTTTCTTATTATTATTGATAAAACTTTGTTAATTTTATTTATATTATTTGATTAATAATTACAACATTTTAGTATGAAAGTGTAATTAATTTCACAACCATGGTTCCCACGGGTTATAAACTAGTAAAAAAATAAACATCTCACATTTTCTTTATTTTAGTCCTAATCTATTAAATAAAAACAAATTATTATCATTTCTCCCACACCTCACCCTTATCTAAACCATCCACGCACTCATCTCATCTCACATACCTCACCCCTACACCAACACTCACACCCATACCACACCCACACGCCTAAGCCTACAGATACATGTATATCCACCACCTACATCACCTACACCCATACGCCAACACTTACCCCACATCCCTACACCTAAACTCACACACACACATATGCCTACCCCCATCTACCTAATACTCATACACATACACACTCCGACAACCACACCCATACATACACCTATATGCCTATACACATGTATATACACACACTTGCATGTGCACACATGTTTTCATTTTCTTTCTTTTAACTCTTTAAATTTACAATCTGCTGGCTCAAAAGCATGATATATTAATTGATTTAATAAAGTGTAATAATATATTTTCATTTTGTAAAGCTATCTTTTTAATGAATATATTAAGTGCAAATTCAATAAAAAAAACATAAGTTTAAGTGAGTAAGAGTTTCATAAATGAGATTTTTAATCAAAAAAAAGTATTATCAATTTTATTATTAATAATAACAGGTTACACAAAATCAATAAAATTGTATTTTCGTCATATATAATAATTTACTTTCCGATTCTTTTGACAAATCCACAAATTATAACTTAGTTTTCAATTCACATCAACCAAATGCATAAAAATATAATAATTCATTCATATTCCAATTCCTTTGACATATTCTATTCCTTCCAAAAATTATGTGAAATAAACTTCACCTTAGTGTTTTGGTTTTATTTCATTTGTGGAATTGGTAGTAGATACTTTTGCATGTTCCTAGTTTATGTGGCATTCATTTCTAGCGACTTTTACGACACTGATATTTACTAAAATAGTTAAGTAGATTAAATATTATAAAAATTAGAGTTTTTATAATATCATAACGAAAATATTTTTATTTTAAAAAAGCGTCAATGTCAAAGTTGTTATTTATACTTTGTTATGCATTTTGAAAAAATAACATTTTTGTTATAAGTGTTGTTAAGATATCAATTGAGATTTTTATAAATGATAAGAACTTTATAAAATGTTTGTTTAAAGTATCTAATAACTGATTTGAATTTGATCTTAAAAAGTTGAAAATGACCAATTTTAGTGAAAAGGGAGAATTTGAAAAAGTTGGATTTAACATCTTACCGCAGTGTGAAACCAGATTGTGTAGTCAAGCGTCTAAAAAGGAGCGGTCAACCATCAAGTTACATTGACTAATTCTATACGTACCTCCGATTGCTTCGTGTACCCTCCTGTGTGAGTGGGTGAATGTGTGTACCCTATGATTTAACACTTTATGTCAGTGAAGAGGGATACACATAGTAGCATTCAGTTCTTTCGGTATTCAATAAGGCTACATCGTGGTCATTTTTGCTTAAAAACCTGTTCCGAAATTCTATCCACAAATCATTGTAACAAGTGTTTATTCAAGCCAAAAAAAAATCAAACTCAATCCAAAACTTTATGGATCACCATCTCCACTTAGTTGCTTCAATTTATTTTTTTGATGGTGTGACTTTACTCATTATGTTGTGTAGGTGTTTGAAAGCATTTAAGTGAGTAATCCACCTCTTCTTGCAAAGAGACCAAGTGTTTGTTTTTTGGCTAAAAGTTTTTTTTTACCTCTTATGTTTGTAGGTGAAAAGACATTTGAGGAATAGAGTGGTTGTTTTTCAAAAGGCAAAAGACATAAAAAAAATCTTTTTGACCTATTTTTCCAAAAGAGAAAAAAATAAGGGAAAATGTCACTATAGCCCCACGAACTTACATGTTTTGGTTTAAAAGGTCCCTTATGTTATTTTTTGGCTTTATAAGGGCATGAATTAACATTTAACCGACTAATTTGGGATTTTGACCCAATTCAACCAGTTTCCGTGCCTACTCATCATCCAACTAAGCTAGCGAGTCAACTCACACGACTCGGTTTACACGTCAACGACTCACCCACCGAGTTAGCTTGCTTGGGCCCGAACGGTTCAGTGGTCCCCTACTATATAATTGAAGGGTCTGCTGGACAAAACCCTAAACTTTTGTTACCACTTCCGGCCAAACACTAGCCGACAACCGATAATAGAATACTCGCTTTGCCTTTCACTGTCTTCCATGGAGCCTACCCCACCACCATCACCAGATACTATAAACTCCAATAACTCTATAAGCTCAACAGACGAGCTTAACTTGAACGATTTGCACACGATCTTTTGTGACTGTGGTGAAAAGATAGCTGAGCAAAAAGGTGAGGTGGAGCGCATGAAGGAGGAGATGGGTCGCGATTGCCTTCATTCCAGGGTTGATGTCCTCAACATACAGCAAAGGTTCGAGAAGGTTGAAAAGTAGATTAAAGCGATTGCATTGTTGGTTGTGGGTCTTGTCGTCGTGATGCTCCTGCTAATGATTTTCATCATTCACTTGATAATCAGCAAGTGAATCTCATGGAAGTGGTTTGTAGTGGTATGATAATATAGTGGTCGTAATCTTCTGTTAGGTTTAATGGTTTTTATTGTCATATATGTTATTAGGATTATGTGTGTTCGTTTGTCTTAGTGGTAATCCAGTTTGTGTAGGTAGTGGTACTCCAATGGTGGTTGTAATGGTAGTTTATGGATGTATTTTGAAGTCCTTCTTACCTGTAACAGGCGTTTTGGTATGATCTTGATGAAATGTAAAGAGATTGAATGGGTTATTGTTGTTGATTAAGGGTAACGATTTGGACATTTGGTTGCCTTACTTAATGATAATTTATTGTGTTTAGTGCACCAACTATGACAGATGTGCTTGAGGTCAAACAAAAGGGGTATTTTCGTCAAGGGGTATTTTCGTCATTTCCTCTTTATAAGTACTTTACTTCCTTACTCCGCAGTAGCTTTCTTTTTCCCTGTGATTGTTTGCATTCTGAAGTAAAGAGCTCTCGGAATTAACGAAGCGAAAATGGTGAAATGCTCATGTGGATGTGTCGCCATAATAAGAATGTCTTCCACTCCCTCCAACCCTGGAAGACCCTTCTATGCTTTCCCCACTAAGGTTTGTGTTAGTTTGTTTATGAGGCGCCTGTAGCCAGTAGCCCTAATTTATTTGTTTGTTTCATTCTCAAGTTCTCACTCGAAAATTGATTTTGTTAGGGACCTCGTAATGGTTTTATTTGTTGGGTAGATGAAGCAGACACTAAGAATATGAGTGTTGAAGCAGTTATGATTGCAGGTTTGGCTAGGTCAAAAAAGAAGCTTGAAGCAAAGATTTGGAAGCTGAAGATGTGTTTACTTCTAAGTTGGATTGTTTTCTTTGGCATAATTGTTTACAAGTTGTAATACTTAGCAGTTGTTCATTTGCTTTTTATGGAAATTATTAGGAGTATTATATTACCCATGTAATGACTTTGTAATTTAATCATAAAACAATATGTTTAGTCATATGGGATCCCAAGTTAGATTCGTAGTGTATTTGTTGATAGTGACTTCGGACCATATTCAACTAGAATAAATGGGGACCATATTCAACTAGAATAAAGGTGGACCATATTCAACTATAATAAATGGGACCATACGCATCACTAATGTCAATAATGGACCCCAATACCATGCACGTCCATAACCATAACACACAATCATAAGCACATTGAAACCATTAACATTACTTCGCATACATAACACCAATCATACAAACAACACCAATCATACAAACATAACACCAATCATAACCACATTGAATACATAACATCAAACTGAAACACTTAGTCCGAAACATTCTCTTGGATCCTAAATAAGAAGTACATTACACCAAACATCCACACTTAATCCGAAACTGACATAGAAATTTAATACCTATTCAAGTTCCATTGGCTTGTCAATAGTGTTTCCTTCCCCATTTTTACCCTCAACCCATGCAACAAGTTTTTTCTTGATTATTCTGATGGTTTTTAAAGCAAAAGAACATCATATGTGCTCATGCAAAACCCTAAAGCTTGGATCTAGGCTTCTCTATTGAACATGTAATTCATCCAAGACTTGTAACCCTAGATCTAGCATGTATAATTCGAAATTAACACTATAAGAACAGATCTAAGTGATTACCTCTTTCAATTGGCTTGAGATCCTTTGATTTTTCTTGATCTTGAGCTTAGAGTCACA